AGACGCATCTGGATTGCTACCGTGGAAAGGTGAGGTTCGAAAGAGATGGTGAGGTTCTGGTGTATCAAGGATCAAGACCGACTTCTGGTAGCTTGGTTGTGTCAGCAATACAAGCGGAGCGTTTGATAGAGAAAGGGTGTGAAGCATATCTGGCGACGATATCTATAGATGAGGTTGGACCGGATGTGGAGATAGGAGAGATTCCAGTGGTACAAGAATTTGAGGATGTTTTCCAAGCTTTGAATGGAATGCCGGCGGCTCTTTAAGATCTGTTCACGATTGAACTTGAACTAGGAATGGCTCTGATATCTAAAGCACCATAACGAATGGCACCGGCTGAGATGGATGAACTGAAAAGCAACTAGCTAAACTTTTGGAAAAAGGTTTTGTAAGGCCAAGCAATTCACCATGGGGTGCACCTGTTCTGTTCGTAAAGAAAAAGGATGGAAGTTTCAGGCTCTGCATCGACTACCAAGGGTTGAACCGTGTAACTGTGAAGAACAAGTATCCACTTCCAAGGATAGACGAGTTGTTGGACCAGCTCAGGGGTGCTACTTGGTTCTCGAAGATTGATTTGGCTTCTGGGTACCATCAAATACCAATAGACAAACCGGACGTTCGGAACACTGCCTTTAAGACAAGGTATGGTCATTACGAGTTTGTGGCCATGCCGTTTGGTTTGACGAATGCGCCAGCTGCATTCATGAAGTTGAAGAATGGCGTGTTCAGGGAATACTTGGATGTGTTTGTAATTATTTTCATAGATGATATCCTGGTGTATTCAAAGAGTCTAGAAGAGCATGAGAAGCATTTGCGGATTGTTCTGGAAAAGTTGCAAGAACAGAAGTTGTTTGCTAAGTTGAGTAAGTGTAGCTTCTGGAAACGACACATTGGGTTCTTGGGTCATATTGTATCGGACAAGGAAGTGTCCGTGGATCCTGAAAAGATCAAGGCTATTGTGGATTGGCCGAGACCTGAGAATGTGTCTAAGATAAGAAGTTTTCTAGGATTGGCTGGTTATTACAGGCGTTCTGTGAAAGGCTTTGCAAGTATGGCTCAGTCAATGACACGTGTGACTGGTAAGGATGCTGAGTTCGTTTGGATGGCTGAGTGTGAGGAGTGTTTCTTGAAGCTAAAAGGAATGCTTACAAGTGCACCGATGTTGGCTTTACCTGAGCCGGATGAACCGTATGTGGTGTACACGGGAGCTACTGGGAAAGGACTAGGTTGTGTCCTAATGCAGCATGGGAATGTGATTGCCTATGCGTCAAGGCAGCTAAGGAAGCATGAGGTTAACTACCCTACACATAACTTAGATATGGCGGCTGTAGTCTTTGCGTTAAAGATATGGCAATCTTACTTGTATGGTGGGAAAGTTCAGGTGTTTATCGATCATAAGAGTTTGAAGTACATCTTCACTCAACCTGAGTTGAATCTGAGGCAATGGAGATGGATGGAGTTAGTCGCTGACTACAACTTAGAGATAGCTTATCATCCGAGAAAGGCTAATCTTGTTGCTGATGCATTAAGCCGGAGAAGGGCTAGTGTGTCATCTGCAAAGGATGTGGAAGGAGTTGTGAATCTCATAAGGACGTTAAGGTTAAACGTTTTGTCTGAGGAACTGGAACCATTGGGTTTGGGAGCTGCGGATCAAGCTGACTTGTTAACAAGGATTCGTTTGGCTGAAGAGAAGGATGAGAATCTGAATAAGGTGTCACAGAGTGACAAGACCGAGTTTCAAACTTCCAACAATGGGACTTCCATCAAATGTCACAGAGTGTGTGTTCCTAATGTGAAAGAGTTAAGGGAGGAAATTCTGAGGGAAGCACATCAGTTGAGGTTTTCTGTGCATATGGGAATGACCAAGATGTACCAGGATCTGAAAATGTATTATCATTGGGTCAGGATGAAGTGGGACGTAGCTAAGTGGGTAACTAGCTGTCTGACATGCCAGTTGGTTACGGCTGAGAGTGGTTTGTTGCAAAAATTACCAATGCCGGAATGGAAATGGGATATTATCACAATGGATTTTGTGTTAGGTTTACCGAGGTCTCTGAAGAAGCATGATGCAATTTGGGTCATTGTTGATAGGCTGACCAAATCTGCTTACTTCTTGCCTATAAGAAAAACAGATGGAGTGGCTAGGCTGATGGAGTTGTATGTCGATGAGATCGTCAAGAGTCATGGAGTACCTGCGAGCATTGTGTATGATCGTGATCCGAAGTTTACTTCGCAATTCTGGAAAGAGATTCAGAAAGAGTTTGGGACGAAGGTGCATATGAGTACTACATATCATCCGCAAACAGATGATCAGTCTGAAAGGACCATCAGGATGTTAGAGGACATGATGAGAGCGTGTGTACTGGACAAGGGTGGTAACTGGGAAAGTTATCTACCGTTGGCTGAGTTCGCGTATAACAACAGTTACCATAGGAGCATTGAGATGTCTCCGTATGAGGTATTGTACAGAAGGCCATGTAGAACACCGCTATGGTAGACCCAAGGGGAGCGGAGTGAGTTAGGACCCGTTATGGTCGAAGAGACTACCAAAAAGATCAGGTTTCTGAAGGCTAAGCTGAAAGAGGCTCAAGACCGACAAAAGAGTTATGCTGATAAGCACTGTAAGGACTTAGAGTTCAGTGTGGGCGATCTGGTTTATCTGAAGGCTATGACTTATAAGGGGAAAAGCTGAGCAACGTTTGATGCTAAGTTGAGTCCGAGGTACATGGGACTGTACCAGATTCTAGAAAGGATTGGAGCAGTGGCGTATAAGTTGGACTTACCGCCGGAAATGAGTGCTTACCACAACATGTTTCACGTGTCGCAGCTGAGAAAGCACATAACCGAACGTGAGACTGTGATATCTGAACCACCTTCGGAATTGCAAGAGGATCTGGCCGTGGAAGGTATACTGATCCGAGTGGTTGACCGTAAAGAAAAGCTTAGGCGTGGTAAGAGGGTCAAGATGATCCGAGTTGTCTGGGACTGTAATGGGGATGAGCAAACTACTTGGGAAGTAGAGTCTAAGATGAGTACAAGGTTCCCGAAATGGTTTGAGAAACTTCAGGAAGAAGAACCGAATTCGAGGACGTATCCAAACCAAGTGGGGGAGGGTTATAGCATCCATATCCGAGAAAATCTGGAATGATCGAGCCGGACAGGAGGTCCTCCGAAGGAACGTGAGGTGTTACGGGATGACCGTATTCATAAAGTACTTATCAAATACTTATGCCTCTCCGTTTGAGTGTGCATATAAAGATAAGGTCCATGGAGAGTAGCTCTGAAGGCGGACTGGAAGGCAGTGAAGGAAAGGGGTGGATTAGGACCGGGTTTTGGGATTCATGTTATGAGCTTTCTGAGTTTTATAGCTTTGGTGCTAGCATATCTGAGTTAAACTAAATCTGATAAGTTTAGTTTTCTGTTATTGAATCCGAATTCTGTTAAGTGTTTCTGCAATAAATATGCAATCAGAATGGATGTCTCTTGATGAATTGAACTTATTTTAAAGTTAAAGAAAAGTTTAAAAAATATGCGTGTTTTTGTATTCTGACCGAGAGAACACTCGGTGAGGTTCGGACCGGTCTAGTGATAGATGGTCGGGTCCTGACAGAGTCCATCACCTTTTTCAATCAATCCGTGATCAATGCTTGTCTTGAAATCGGTTCTAGTTACGTCTTCATCAACATAGGACTTATGTTGCATGTTAATATCGCATCATTCATCATCAATTGGTGAATTATCATCATCCTCCTGATCAGTATCCGATTCGGTTGCGTTGAAACATAGATATTTTTTGTTGTTCATAGATTTATTCAAAACCATTATTATTGAATCGACAGAATAAAAATAAATGTGAATAATGTTAGGAACAATTTAGTTAATATGTATAACATCAAAACGTTCTATAATAAAGTTAACTTAACTGATAGCTCGATTCTCTGCTCTCAACCTTCTTATTATATCCATTTTTGTTTGTCTTGCTATTTTTACATTGGATTCGTCTAAAACCAATATCATCGATGTCTGGATTATTGATTACCTGATGAATTATGAAGTTTGCATTCATATCCATAGGAGCATATCGATTAATATATATATATATATAGTTATTTAATATTACCTATCTGTAAAATATACATACAGTGTGTATTAAACTGCAAAAACAAAATCTATGATAAAAGTTATCTAACCATATTGTAGGTCTATTTTATGTATGAAGTGCTATGCTAACATTTGTAAATGCTACTATGGGATGTTTGACCAATATTAATATCATTTTTTCTGAGTGGAGGTGGGGGCACAATAGACCAATATTAATATCTAAACTACCTACTAAGACTAAATACATAATTAAACAAATAAAGAAAATTAAAAAATATATAGTATGAAAGATTAGGTAAAATAATTTATTTATATCAATACGACAAACATGAAATAAATATATAAGTATATATTGACCACAAAAAATGATATTAATTTACTTACCTATTATGATCTTCAAAACTAGGTGAAATAAATATTTGACCAAGCTTATTACTTAAATAACCAGTTAAAACTAAAAGAAAATATATAGATTTGTTATAGAGTTGTGATAATTTTAAAAGTTAGAGAGATTTGTTAAAATTTTAAAGAGTTTGTTAAATTTAAAGAGATTTAAATAATCTATTAAAATAATTTATTATAATGATTTTAAGAATTTAAGGTATATAGATAATATTTTGAAATTTTGTTTCATGAGTTAAATTGTTAACAATCCTTGTAAACATCTTTGATCAAATAAAGAAAGTTAAAACATTATTATTATGAAAGATCAGGTGAAATAATTTATTTATTTCTAAATTACAAACATGAATAATATATAAGTATATGTTGACCACAAAATGTGTGTATATATATATATATATATTTAAGTAAACAATCATATATTTGACTAAAAATTATTTTGTAAATAGTCAAATAAGATAAGAAAAAAAACAAATCTAGTATTATTAAAAGCTTACATGATGTTAATTTACTAACCTATTATGATCTTTAAAACTAGGTGAAATAAATGTTTGACCAAACTTATTATTTAAATAACCGGTTAAAACTAGAATAAAATCTAGGGATTGGTTATAAGAGTTGTGATGATTTTAAAAGTTGAGAGATTTGTTAAATTTGTAAAGAATTTGTTTGATTTAAAGAGAATTATGTGTATTTAGAAAATCTATTAAAATCTTTTATTATAATGACTTTAAAAATCTAAGGTATATAGATAGTATTTTGAAAGTTTTGTGTCATGAGTTAAATTATTAACATTTTTTGCCCAATAACAAAGATTTTAATTGATTGATAGAATCATTAAAAACCAACTTTTTGAAATAACAATGGAATTTGTATAGAATTTGGAAATCTTTATGTCAATAACAATAGATTTTAGTAAGAATGTTAAAATCTATCTACCAATAGCAATAAAATCTCCAAATTTTAACAATCATTACAAATCCATCTACCAATAACCCCCAATTATATATTGAAAATTAATAATAGATAGATATCATTGGTTTCGTTTTTAAAATCAAATGTTTTTCTCATAACTTAGGTTATAAATATGTTTTATTTCATCATAAGTGTTGAAGCTTTTCTACTGAAAAGACAACAGCTAGTTTATCAAACAGTCTAAAATCAAATTTGTAAGATCGATATCATATTCATTTGTAAGATATCAATTTTTATCTATATGTTTATTCTTACTATCAATGCTTTTTTAATTTCTCGTTGAATTAAGTATATTCTAACCAAGTTTTGTTGCATCCTTTAGGAACATAACTAATGGCAACACATCAACTTTCATCGTTGATAACTTTGATGATATTTTTTCTCATCTTTCTACCCATTATTTCAGGTAATAAATCTTAATGAATTCGATCATTTATCTTCTTTTTTTTTTTTGTTATATCATGGTGATAAACTCAGACAAAAGATTTCTTTGAAAGAAATTGGGGAGACTTCTACGAGTATTCTGAAAAACTCAAACTCAATTATTAATTGATCATTTTTTGTACTTACTGTCTTGTAAATATATTTGTTTATGAATTAAACAGGACAAACCAGACCCAAAACATGTTTTCTGGAAATAACATGCCACAACAAAATGACATGCAACGAATTTTGCAGATATAGAGGATACATATTAGGAAGTGGAACTTGTGAATACTATGTTGGCGTAAAGGACGGGCATTGTTGTTGCTCTCTTAATTTTGAGTCTCAAGAGTTTTTCATATCTCATGATACTTATTCCTAGTTAATTAATACTAGATGGTTGGCTTGCATATGTGCAAGCATAAAAATTTTATTAAAATTAAACTAGTGATAATGTTTAATTTATCATTTATAATAAATAGATAATTGACTCAATCAGAATATATATAAACGTAAATTAATTTTGCATCATTAGTAAAATTTATTATTGTTTTTTTTAACTTATATTATGTAAGACTTGATGTATAAGATAATATATTAATTATTTTATTAATATATCAAAAAATAAAAATGTGTCTATTTCTAACTTTAATTTGTGAAAGAATATTTCAATGTATTATAGAAACTATATGCATAAAGAAATTAATATGTATAAGATAGTATTATTAAATACCTCAAATAAAAGCTAAAAACAAAATATTAATTATTTTTTCGTCTTCTTTAATTTCTACTTTCTTTTCTCACTCAAATAATATATTAAAGAATATCTCTTATATATTTATCCATTTGTTTTCTCTAAAATAGATGTGGATTTCTCTTCAATCCATCTTTATTTTATAGGTAAGTTTCTATGTAAGAGAAAAAATTATATCTTTATTTTGTTTCTCTAAAATAAATGATTTATAATAGAGGTGGGTTGGAGATGGTCTAAACCGAAGATATCCCAAAACTTTTACAGAAAACCAAAGTCCTATAACTTTTTTTTTTTACTTCTGCTTCTTATTCATATTTTTAGCATCATAGTATGATTTTGTTTCATTTATGATTTCAAATTCTCATGTTGTAATGAGAATGCATTTATATATGTTACGATCTTTTGTTCTTGTTTGTAAATTAGATAAGATTAGATGGTAACGAAAGCTCTGAAATTTTCACAAGATAAAATTGTTAAAAAGTTTTTAAAATCCTATATAAATATATGGTCTCACTAATATCATAAACTAATTATTATTCTGTACTTTATTCATTTCATATAGTAAGTGATGTTTAAAATAAAATGAAAAGTTTATATCAATTTTTACTATTTTAAGCTTTAAAAAGTTAAATAACTATTTTTTAATTATTTTAAACCGTTTGTATTATGTAAGTAGTTTTTTCATGATTGTATTTTATTTCTAATTCTATTTATTTATAATGTTTTTATTATTTAATAGTATTATATTAGGTTTATATCTATATACTTCAAGGAAGCAGTCATGGGAACTGGTAAAGTAGTCGTAAATCAGTCGCAAGTTTTTTTTTGCGACTGAATTACGACTAATACAAGGAGGCGCTAAATCTTCGTCGCAAACCAACGGAATCGCTAATTAGTCGTAAATTTGTGACCAATTTACGACTGATTTGCGCTTTCATATCATCATCGTTTGTCAGTCGTAAAACAGTTGTAACCCTTTACGACTCTTTTACAACTGATATATGTTAAGCATTATGATTAATTGGTGATTGATAGAAGGTCGAGTGTGCTAAAATGGTATCAAGTTTACGACTGTCCAGCGACTGCTTTGTGACTAATGTGTAACTAAACTACGACTCAATAGCGACTCCTTTAATCATAAAAATAAGTAAATGGTATTTGCTTTCTTTGCTTTACGATTTGGTATTTAATATTAAACTTGTCGTAATCAAAATACAGAAAACCTTATATACAAACACACAATACATAATTAACATAAATAAGCAAAAATTCAAATCCAAAAACTTGTCACTTTCAGTGTTCAAACTAAAACTCCAACAATGGAGTTCACAAAAAAAATACATAAATTAAGTCTTATTTAGGAATTAACCATAGAAGGAGTTGTTACGGTGTTGGAAGTGGATTTGTTGGAGCGGCTTGAGAGTCTATGAAGACTACAATGCGGGATCAGTTGCATGCAGGAATTTCTCCACCAATGATAAGCGATCTAGCTTGTTTTGTTGTGCAGCCACCAGTCGGGAATTCTCAGCCTCATAGACAGCAATCTCTCATCACAGCGTGCATTATAAGCAGGCTGTTCCTCTATTTGACGTTGAGCTTCTTGTATTGTTGTTGCAGTGCAACAAACGATGAAGAACAGCTCCCCTAGTACTTATGCTTGCCATTGGCAAGAGTATTGTGGAGACTTCGTAGTCCAAAAGGATGTCCTATGTCATCTCTGAATGTGCACTGTCACAAATAAGCATTAAAGCCAATGTCACACATGAAAGAAATTAAACCATAACTCGCATCACATAGAAAAAATATTCATCAATTGCACAATAAGACTGAGCATGCAAAATAAAACCAGTTAGTGAAGATAGTTTTTTTACCTGAAGTAATAGCTCATTCTGATCATCTATGGAGAGCTTCGGAGGTGTCGGATCACCACCCAAGGTTTCTGAATTATGTGCCTTGAGCTGGGACAACTTCATCGTATAAGCTCAGCGATGTTCTTGGCCTTTACATCGACAAGCGTCCCATATGGTTTTGTATGCGTCTTAGTAAAGACCTCACCAATACTCACCAGTCTTCCCAACTCTCTTCCTGAAATGTTACATAGTATAAAAGTTGCAGAGGTTAGATTATTTATAAATTATTGAAAATATGTAACTTTGTCTCACCATTACTTGTTGGATTTGTACATATGACTTCTGGCCTAATAAGTGTATGTGAGGACCAAGACCATTACAATCAGAGTTGCGAGCTGTAGATGTTGTACTGCTCATATCCTTTGCTTCTTCTGTGTCCCAGAAGGTCGTCATCTGAGTCCAGAGTGTCGGCTATATCCATTTAGGTCGTATTTGAGAAGTGTGGACGGTGACATATCTTCTCGAATTGTTCTTGAAATGTCCTTGACAATAAGGGATCCAAGGTGTGTGTTTTCTACATATCAAAGACATGAGATTGATGTTAGTAAGGTTAGAGGTTAGTGAAAACAATACAAGCAATCATATAAACTATAGATAGGTTAAAGGAGAGAATTATTAACCGCAAACTCAATGAAGTATATTTCTTGTCTGTCATGCGGCACAACTGTCCAGCTATAATAGGGACCATCGAATTTGTTAGTGAAGACTTTTGTAATCTTTCGGACAAGTGCTCCCTTGTCCCGACTAAACCTACACAAAATGAATCAATTTGTCAACAGAGGTAAACACGGAGAGAAACCCAAGACTTGGAAGCAAACAAATAAAATGAGAAACAAGTTAAGAACTGGGTGAATGATAACTTGCTATATTAGAGCATTTTAGGCTGCATTTCATGCATGTTTTCTCTTGTTCTTGCATTATTTTTTATCATTTAACTCTCATTTACATACAAAAGTAGTCATGTATGCATTTAGTTTAAAAATGCATACATCTGTATACATATGCATGTTTATGGTGACTTTTAGGTGGTTTTGGGAGTGTTTTGGAGTTGGGAAGGAGATGGAAGCAACTCATGTTCGAAGGAGATGCCAAAGAGCTATCTTTGCAAACTCTGTATCCATATCGAGCTCCAGCATCGAGCAGAACATCCGTGAAGCTTGCTCGATGTGAAACGTGGGACGAGGAAGAAGGATTTGACCGAGGACTCTGAGACTGCACCGGGGTAGTGCACCGAGATAGGTATGCCGTACAGGCCGATACGGATGTACAGGGCATATCAAGGTGTAGCATCGTGGAGAACACCGAGAATCCACATCGACATCGAGCTGACCACATCGAGCAGAACACCTTCCCTTGCACCATGATGCGTCAACGCCGAGAATTGACCAAGATTTTTCTACCTCTTGTCAAACCTTATTTTTTTGGCTTAATTAAGCTAAACCTTATCTTTTTTAGCACTTGTCTTCTTCCTTATCTTATTTTCGACCTGAGGGGAAACCCAAAAGGGGATTTCATGAGATTTTGATCAAGATCACTCTTTTAATAAAGTTTTGCACTTCCTTTGTTATTTTCCTTCTAGTTCTTGTTTAATCATGTTCGATCTGTCGTTTCTGCTTGTTTCTGTTGATTTTGCTATGTGTTGTAAGTAGCTTCATATGGTTTGAGGTTGGAGCAGATTTGGGGATGATTAGTTGATAGCTTAGGGAGTTTTGGTTTAATCCTTGCTTGATTTACCTTGCTTAGTTGTTCTTAAGGCTTGAGTAGCTTGTTTAACTGAAATAGATTATAGGTGTTTGCTGCATCACAAGTGTTTGTTTAAATGCCTGAAAGAACTATCCTTGGGATAATTGCTTAGATTATTATATTGCATCTTAGTACATTGTTTGGTCTTTAAGAGCCTTGTGTTGTCATGCTGGTTTTGTACAAATACGCCATCACAAGTGGGTCTGACATGTGCATTACTTAGACATCTTTGCTCTGATTGCAAATTGATTGAATCAGTGGCTTCATTATGAATCTTGCTTGTTATTAGTCTTGACTACCCTTGGTTTGATATTATGTAGTCCCCAAGTCATCATTGCTCTAACCTTGAACCTGCGCCATCTTGTTCTTTGTTTTTCCGTTATATTGTGTTCTGTTTTCCTCTGTTTTTAGTTGCTTTGTTTTTGTTCTATTTCTTGTCTTGCATTCTAAGTTATTACATTTAGCTTCCATTTTGGTCCTTGCACTTCTATTGCTTTGCTTACTTTAGTCCTGCTGCATTTAGATCATTTCCTTGTTAGTTTCTGTTGCATTTAGTTTCTTTGCATTTCATACTTTGCTTTAGTCTTGCTAGTTTTCTTTTTTATGCATGCATTTCACCTTTGATCACTTAAGTTGTTAGAATCTTCATTCTTCATCATACATGGTTAAGCTTAGTTAGTGCCTTGCATCTCTTTTATTCTACCTCCTAGATGGATTGATAAAACCTCTTCTAATACTACATCTGATTACAGAATAATTGAGTTAAGACTTGCAAAAGTCCTTTTTCAGTGAAGAAAGAATCATTTTAAGAAGCAAATTACTATCTTAGAATCATAGTCGCTCCGTACTTAAAACTGAAACGCAAGGAATGAACGTGTTACGAACAATGACTTGTGATGAGAGTGATGATGTGAGTGACGATGTGAAACAAACAATGCCAGAACAAAAGACTATTATAAAACAATTCAAAATAAGACTTGTAAAACAAATAAGACTTGGGGATTTGGGTTCGTGAAGGAGAGAAGAGAGGAGAAGAGAGGAGGCACGAAAAATGAAGAAAA